GACCTATACAATTTTTTTCTTTTTGATTTTTTTACCTGGATTACTGAGATGCATCAGGACAAAAATCCAGATGTTGCACACGTTGCCTTTTCTATGAAACATTGCAGGTGATGAAAGTCTGAAATCAAACAAATTCTGTCAGTTTAGCAAAATGCTACATGCTAAAAACAATGTTTCCGGGACGGATCAGGAAGCCACACATCTCATTTCACAGCCGTTTACGCAGCTGCCAGGTTTTAGACTCCACCCTACAAGGGTGTTTCAACTATTTTAAAAGAATAAAGGTAGTAATTCAAACATATTTTGTGTAGTCTTCTGGTGCCTGGGTAACAGCAGCCCTCTCTGTCAGAACAAACATCCAACCTTGTTCTTTTCCCCTCAGTYTTTAGATCAGGAATATTCCTTTTTATCCAGCCAGGATACTTCATGGGTAGAAGTGATGGAGTGATACGGGAGAAGTTTCCTTCCTAAATACAGGGTTAGGTCTTTGCTCAAACTGAGGGGGGGATCTGACATCATTACATCATTAAAAGCTGACAACATAAAAGCCAGAACAAGAAAATACCAGATAACCACCTACTGGTTAATACAGACTGTAATTCAACACAATCAGAAGATTCACCGAGTTAATCGTGTCTTTTGTGTAGTCACAGTGAGCATAAGCTGCTTTTGCCCCAGGATCTAAATGGGGCAACTGGTCCAATTGATGAATCTGCTGATACGGCTTCAAAAAGAAAATAAAAAAACTTAAGCTGATTCTTTGTTGTACATGTATCACCGCAATTTGAGAGTTGCGTGTGGAGGGACCTGGTAGACCCGCACTGACAAATACAGAGGTCTAAAAACATGAGGACTTGCAAACAAACATTTTGCCCATTTTTAAATTGAGCTCTAAAGTCCCCCTTAAAAAGCCCACTGCTGATCAAACATGGAGGAGTTCAATTTGCTCCTTTTTTGTAAATCTGCTTAAACTCTTTTTACTGCCCAGTTTAGTGGCAACTTTGAATTAAGTTTTAACAATAAGGGAGCAATGAGAAAAACTGGTCCCCGGTGATGCAGAACAGAGTATTTACAGATACTATCACAACTCAGTGAGTAGAGGCTAAATGGATGAAGTTAAATAAGCAGAGAAATGTAGAGCTGTAATCAGGATTTGTATTAAAACTCACCCGTGTGTGACGTGTCCCACAAACTGAAGATTTTTGTTTGTGTTGGATATTTTGTGGTTGATTAACTGTATTTTAGACAGTCTCATATTTTATACTTTGCAATTGATTGCAGCAGTGGTGCCTGCAGAATTTTTTTTCAGGGGTGGCCATGGTCGGGGGGGCACTGAAGAACCAGGGGTGGCACACCAAAACTAATATCTATAACAGAAAATTTATGATGTGTTTGTAAAAATGACAATTTGAAAACTATGGCATTATAAAGATATGGATTTTACAACAGATGTTCAATTTGTAATTTTACGGACAATATTACCGATTTTGTGATGTTCAGAGACAAAAAAGAAGAACAAACTATCTGCACTMCAACAGCCCATTTTCTAACTTGTTCTGTATCTTTTACACATGGAGTACCAAAGATTATCCTTACATTGTTACATATTTCAGTGGCATCAGAAATATTTATAATGTTGGGGGGGAACCCACTGGCAGGGGGTCTGGGGGTCCTCCCGCAGGAAATTTTGAAAGAAGTAAATGCCATTTCCTGCATCCTGGTGTATTTTAACAGGTTGTTAAACAGACTTTACCAACATAGGAAACATATGCTCTATACTTTAAAATGTGCTTTAAAAAAACAATGGAAACACGGCTTATAAACATTATGAAAGGACACAAATGAGTCTTTATATTTTAAAATAAACATTTAACTGAGAACTTAAATCAGTTATTCGGGCTGAACAAACCTTGTAGTTCAGCAAAGTTGTTTTTTGAGTTAAAGATCCATTCAGATTTGATGTATTAGAACTTTGAATCAAAGCTTCCCTTTGAAAAACTAATTTTTAACTAGGAAAAGATGAGCAATATGAACTCTGTTCACTTTAACTCTTGGATTTTCACAACAGAACAAAGCTAAAGAACCAACGGACCATATATTGTCCCCAAGTGGCAACAACTCAAGATTTGTCAAACTAAAAATTAACTAGAACTAAAACTACTGAGACAGTTTTAACWTTCAGATTTAAGTTGCTATAAAACAAAACAAATCAAAATAAAACCAAGAGCACTTTCCCCATTAAAGCTAAAGACTCAGTCTTCACACTCCTTCAGGACCAAAGATAATCAGGTTTTTCAAATCCCAACTCAAGTTTTCATATCCAAAACTAAAATAATCCAAATTTAAAAAACAATTTTAAGTCAGTTTCTGAGATTTTTGCTCATTTTGATGTCAAACAGGTCTGTTTTCCCACAAGTTTAGTTCTGTTAAAGGTTGAATTTGTCAGTAAATGTTAATTATTGCTCACAATCATGCTGTGTCACACACACACAGTTTAAAACCAGCAGCACGTCCAACACTGACGGTGAAAAGAAARGTAAACATCAGTGTTGTCTTGTGCAAGGTCAGCTGTGGATAAGCGGGCTCGCGGCAGCGTGTGAACACGGTGTGTACCTGGGGAGCGGACTCGCAGCGGCCCCTGGGTTCTCCTCCCGTCCTTGTTTTCGTCGAAGCGATGGTGGGATGCTGCCTTTGCTCTGGTGGGCTGAGAGCCTSGGACTGTCCATCCTGAACACCTGCTCGGCTTCAGCGTCACTTCCACAAGCTGAAGATTACACAGACATYAGAAAAAAATAAAAATACGCAGCAACATGAAAAGCTCAGGGAAGTTAAATAAAAGGGTTTATGAAAGGTGAAGTCAGACAGAAGAAGGAAACCTTTTCTGGATGTCTGTCTCCCCACAGCTGAGCCTCCAGGGAGCATCAAGCCCAATCTTATACTGTACTGTCTCATCACACATTTTAGCACCACAGTGTGGAACTTGTCACAATGAAACACTGACGTGCACCGAGCCAGGCACAGCTACATGCAGACAAGTGATTAAACTGAGACAAAAAGGTTTTGGAATATTAATTGATCAAACTAAATTAAAGTAAAGCACACAATGCAGTCCTGGAGTCACCTGTTAAAAACTGACTGCTGTAGGGCTGRGTTGGCAAGAATTTGGTGATACGATACATAACGCAGCACAGGAGTCACAATAAATGTTGTGATTAGAGGTGGACAGATAACAGGGTTCCTACAGCTTAAGGCCAGATTAATTTAAGCCTTTTTAAGACCTCTGTAATGCCACTTGAAATGAAATTTAAGACCAACTTCACAATAAAACACAAATGGAAAAAAATGACAATTAGCATTAGCGACAATTTTACCCAAATATTTATTTTAAAACACAAAAGAACTAACTGTGAGAGGCATTCAGTAAATTAAAAAAAAATGAATAAATGTTACCATTTACCCTTTTTTTCCCCAAACAGCAGAGTTTGGAAATTTATCATGTAAGTGATAAATGATAAAGTGTAATGTTTGTTGCAATAAGATGTTAAATAAAGTGCAGTTACAAGTACTGATACTGGAGCTAAACTCAAATTATTAATACTTTTTATTCATTTATTTGTAACACTGCAACATTTTCTGTTTGCCATTTAATATTTGAGATTAATTATAAATCATCCCACTTACAATATGGTAACATTTTTAAGACTTCTGAAAGATTGATTTAAAACATTTTAAGACTAATTTCGGCCTTACTTTTTGTTTGATGAATTAAATGCTTTAAGATATTTTTTAGGATAAATTGGCTGACCAATTTATTGGTGCAGATTTCCTTAATTTCAGTGAAAAAGATCGGCTTCTCATACGTCTGAAATTAAACAGGTCAAATTAAAAACAAGTTTGTATTTTTTCAAGTTTATTGTTCATTGGTTTTCAACAATAATAAAAGATTGGAACATTGGTGTGACCTTATTCTACAGTGTCAGTTATAAAAAAATATAAGAAAATGTTCAAATTGATATTGGCCAAAATCGAAATAAGCTAGTCAGACTTTAAGATTAAAAACAGTGATCGGCCAGAAAACTGCAATCCATCCACCCCTAATTTTGATACAATGATATTGTTATTTTTTCCTCCAAAAGAT